AGAGAAAGGCTTGGGACTCATTAGAGGTATCTTGGGCATCCACTGCATCGGTTGCATGGGCCCAGGTGCTTGCTGCAGCGGCTGCATAGCCACTGGAACAGGTTGTTGCACACTAGCCTGGGCCTGGCTGGACAGTGGGACTGTAGTGACCACTGTTGTAGATGGTACGACTGAGACTGAATGAACCGGACCACTAGTTGCTACTAAACCACCCGGGGAGGGTATGCCAAACATGGGAGAGAAAGTTTGCCCTGTGCGTTGCGGCATCGATGATAGGCCCGCACCTACAGGGGGAACTACAGCAAACGGCGGGCTGCCTCACCATTGTGCGAGGGCCCCGAAGTTCAGCCAGAATTTGTTTCTGGCCTGCTACCAAATCAGCCAACAATTCCTGCAGGACGCTTTGCGCTTCCGCTACTGAAAGTAAGGCTCCTCGCAACACACGAACAGCAGGATCCAATATTGACTCGTCCACTCTTTCCAGTCTGCCTAGCTCCTGAGCTCTACTCTCCAGTCTAGCTTTTCTTTGCATAGCTTTCCTTCTCCTCTCTACTACTTCGTCCATCTGCCGCTGTAGCTCATCTTGAAGTTTTTCTCCTTGCCGGATTTCCAAGTCCTCCGGCGTGATAGGAGATTGGCTGACTCGCACATGACCAATCTGACTAGTGGTTGCCTGAGTACCGCTATGACTGACTCCTGACGAAGTGGGTTGTGTAGAGGATTGCGTCATAGATGAGGTAGCCATGGCTGTACTAATGCTAGCTGTAATTCTAGCTCTAGCACTGTCCTCAGCTGCCCTCGCTCTCCTTGGCGCTGCCCTCTCTCTAGCCTCTCTCCTCAATCTTCTCTCGTCTCCTGGACCTAACTCCAGGAATGTCAAGGGTCGACTGCGGGCAGTCCCGCGAGTAGTCCTACGGTCGTCCACTAGTAGCTCCTCCTCACTTGTGCTTGCATCACTCATAAGCTACAATGTGTGTGATCTAAACTAGAACCCACACTGAATCCTACCTTAGCTTGACACACAACTGATTATGAAACACAACTACTTTCGGTCGGATGGGACAAAACAGTTGGGTGATATAGTTACAACTAATGTCARGTCCTACAGGATATATTACATCTATTTTTAGATTACCCTGGAACAGATTGCAATACARCAAAGATCTAACCTATCTGTAGCTGTCTGTCAGTTGTCAGCAAGTCCGTAACAACTAGATAATCAAAACAAAGAATAACATCTCCTGTTGGAGATGTATGCTTGATGGCAGATTGTCTGTTGATTGCCACTGCGAACAGTTACCGGAATCCCCCCTCCCCCTGTATCCATCTTGAGTAATCACTTTGTGTCAACGTCCCTGAGCATCTGGTTGAGCAGCGTGTCTAAAGGTGTGCAATCCAGTCCCACCCCTGTGCCTCAAGTCATCGTCGAGCAAGGCAGCCACAACACTCTTATTTACCCTCGTACGCCGACGAGCCTTACACCCGGTTGATCTGGCTGATCAGGAGGATTATTAAGAGCGCCCCCATCTCTTCAGGAATTATTTAACGTCGCAGTCASGACGACGATCACARCCAGATTCAATCCGAGTCCCCAACCAGAAATGTTWATAGACGGTCTAGTGAGCGTCTCATAGAGGCTGCCATGCCCGAGTTGACCCCTATTTGCGCAAGCAGCAGAACAAGGACTTGCGGCCCAAGCATGCGTGTACTAGTCCCAGCGGGTTGGCATGGTGACCGTGACCCGAGTGCTTCGTCCAGGGCCCTTCAGAGGCTTCGCCCGTTTCCCACCAGCTTGCTGCCCAGGAAGAATGTCGACTCTCAAGGTTGAGCGCTCGCGACACCTCACATCGAGAGGACTCTCAAGACATAACTCACTTCCTCACGGTAAGAAGAGATGAAGAGGGTAGATAAGGAAGAGAGCAACGAAATGCTGCCCCCAACCACAAATTTCTCACCGGTAACCTGATGTGCAATTATGATGACCAGTCTTTGCTTCGGCACAACCAACAGCAGAATGCGGTTCCACCTCATATGTCACATCAGCAAGTTCTCATCATCCAGCATACATCCCGTATGTCACCACATAGCTCCCTGGCGCGCCCACACAACCCTGGGCCGCCTAATGTTCAACGCCAATGCTGTATCACTGCCCCACACCTCATGCGAAGCACCAATAGCTATTGCGAAGAACCAATGAAGCGCAATATGAACCAGCTCCGATACCAAATTGCAAGGAAAATAAGCAACAGCGAGATGACAATCCCAGATTACACCATCACATTGCAAGTCAAATAGTCACACCGTGTCCAGATAGCAGCATTGCACCAATAATACACCAATGGAGTTTCGTAGCACTGAAAACCAATGTTWATGGAGACCACACTCTCTCCTCTTCAACACAAGAATCCAGTTCCCTTACACTCASACTTGGTGCTCAGCGCCCAGCCTACTTCTACACAGCTACTACAGACTACAAAAAGACAATGCAACTGTTGACATCAGCAGCAGCCCGAAGTACTTGAAGATGCAGCCCATGCAGACCATCGCCAATACAAGGTACGTGCCCTCACATCATCATCATCATCATCATCATCCTTTACCTATCCCCTGACTTCACCCCCACCTGTCCTCTCTGACACCCGAAGAACCACCCCTGCGCCTCACTCTGTCCAAGCCAAGCCCGCTATGGAGGCTGGCTATGGCGCTCCCCTCAGCAGCGCCCTGTTCCCCTACACGACCGCACATGCGTTGCCCCTTGCTCCTCTGCCGGCAGTCAGCCTGCGAGCTTTTGCTCCAGCAGCGCTGCCGCCCAACCAGCAAGTGACYGAATGAGCTGCCTGGCCAGAGCTCTTYCCTTTATGGAAAAGAGCTGGCCAGCTCTCGCAGCCTGGCTGGGCTGGCCTGGGCCCAGCAGCTTCCGGAAGGCCCCAGGATGCTGTCTGGATGCAGCAGCTACTGGGCTGCTGGGCCTCGTTCGGTTGGGCGCCCAACTGTCTCTGTATGAGGCTGCGAATCACGCCCAGGGCCTGCATTCTTTGGAAAGGCCCGGTAGGCCGTGGAAATGTCTTCGGTACTCGGCCTGTGTTTCTTTCAACCAACTGGCGCGCCAGGCCCGCCTTCACTTAGGGCGGGCACCTCCACCTTCACTTAGGGCGGGTAAGGCTGCAGATAGGGCCCCGTAGGCCTACCGAGGACACTG